ACAGCCTGATCATTTCTGCTTTTTGACGAGGCTTTTGTGCATCACACCTCACGCCTGGCCTCCTTCCAAATGCTCCTCTTGCACAGGACCCCCAGTCTCAGCTCGCTGGAGCTGTCCTTGCCGTGCTTACACTAACCCAGCTCACTGAAGGTGAGTGGGTTGGGAGACGTCACAAAAGCTGGTCCATCAGCAAATCTGATGGACCAAAAGCAGGTCAGCAACATGTGAAGTAAAGGGGAAAGTGAGTCATCCAGAGAGACAACCAGAACAGGATAAAAGCTGGAAAAACCTTGTTCCTTGGCCTTTAGTTCTTCGCTGAACTCCAGCTGCATGAAACAGCCCAAATCAAGCTACATGTCAAAATCAACATGAGTTCACCCTGTGGAAGTGCTGGAGCTGGCAGATGATTCATTTCAAATCATTCCTCACCCTGCAGCTTCCCCAAACCCTGCACTTACTACTTACACAGGACTTACTACTCATTTCTCTGCTCCTTTACTGCTGGTTGCAACTTCATTACAATATAAAAGGAATTTAACAAGGGTATCGCTCAGATGCAAAATACAAATCGACTGAAAATCTATTAATTAATCTGTGGTACCCCCTACCCACTCCCAAATCAGCTCATCACTTTAGCTCTGCACTTCACAAACAGATGGGATCTTCTGGCAGCCTTTAAACCACTCAAAAGCACTTTCTCCCATAACAAAGCAAACTAATTACTAGAATAAGATGCTATTTCCCATTTATTTATCTGCTATTTTTAAGGAATCAGCTCGCTGTCTGATTCAGGATTTGCAGTGAAGCCCTCAAACAGCAGCATTAAATGCACATTGGTACAATGGTACAGAACACACTAAATGAACTTCATAAGGATTTTGCTCATCAAATGCTTCTCCCTTTCCCTTTAGGAAACTAAGGATCATGGATGCAAAGATAATCAACACTTAGCACTAGCTTCACGTGCTGAATCCCTGAACACAGCACAGCAAAAACAGCTCCAGCTCTGCTCTAAAAGATTCCAAAATAATTTTTTTTCCAACTTGAGGATTATTCTTTCCCAATGCAACCATTTTCTTGTTGACCCTGTAAGTGCTTTGCTCAACCTCAGCACTTGCTAGGCTGTGCATGTTTTTTCCAAGGTAACTTCTTGCCTTTAGCAACTTCAAGATAGGTGGAAATCAATGTCAAAATTATGAACTTCCCAAATTCTTTTGGGAAAGCTTCTAAGCATGGCTGCAGAGGATTACAAGACTTAGATTAATCCGATAACAAGCCCTAAAAAAGCCTGAGCTACAGCAATACCAGTTCAGACACTTGGATGAGTCCCAGGCACCCAAGGAAGTTAAACACACTTAGAAAAATAAATGCAATATTCGGCACGTCTGAACGCACAAAGAGCTGCAGAGAGAAGCCCACAGATTTTTAATAACTAAGCAAATTTAGCGGTAGATTTGTGATTCGGTGGGTATTTGTTGAGTGGCAAATAAAGCAAAGCAGCTAGTTACATGTTGCCTAGCTGCAGCCTCTAATGGGAATTGCTTCCCTGCAGGTAAATCACTTTCTATTACTCCTAAGTACCCCAGGAAAACTACTAATTGAAAACAGAGTTCTAATACTGTCCAGCTGGAAAACATTAGCTTAGGATGGAACTAGCTTGACACTGGCTGCCAACTGGCTATGGACAATGGAATAGGAAATTAATCTTTTGCAGACAAGACATACCATTTTCAACTTCTCCTTTGTAACCTTCAAATCAACTTGCCATTAACCAACGGCTTTGACTCCCATGGGGAAAGAAAAGCATCACTGAATTCATGATAATGCAAGTCTGGCTTTCTTGCATTAAAATGAAGACTCCAATTTTGACATAGTGGATGGCAGCGGAAGTGGAGGGCAGATACAACATCCAGCACCACAGTAACATTTCCCTCTTTTCTTGGCTAAGAGTTAAAGAACAGCCACATCACAAAGCAACCACAAAGAGAAGCGCAGTTGTCCAATTCTGTATTGCCCCAGCACATCTTCCTGCAGCTCCCTCCTGCCAAGAGCTTTTTCCCATGCAGGTGCAAAAGGGATAAGGAGAAAAACCCAAGCTGCTGGCTAGTGTTAAACCATAACACCTCATACATATTCAGACTGGTTTTTAATTTCTGTGTAAATTCATTTCCATGCAGAGACCAACAGGTCAGACTATCTCAGAAGCATCATTCCCCAAGTTACTTCCAACCCACAACATTCCTGAGCCTCCTCTCCTTTTGTGAAACACTCTGGCCTTTTATGACTACTTTTATTCCCTAGCAAAGTTCTCCAAGATGAGAAAAAGCTCTATAAATCCCACCAAGTCTAGTAACTCTCCTTGTCATGTAGAGACACCCTTGTTCTGCAGCCACACCTGCCAGAAGATGATGGCAGGGGTCCCTGCCCATGGCAGGTAGCTGGAACAGGATGATTTTTAAGCTTCCCCCCAACCCAAAACATTGACTGATTTTATGGAGTTACCCACTGGCACAACATTTCAGATGCACATTCATCTCCTCAGCTCCAGATTACTGTACAGGGTTTGTGCCATTCCAGGGATCAGACCACCTCATTTGTGCCCAAAATTGATTAAGAAACATGTACCTGAGTTATCAGCACAGAGGCAATTACCAGTTCCTAATGATTTCTGGGTCTAAAATAAGATATTTCTCCACAGTCTGTCTTACTATGGTTCAAACCAGCTTCTCCATCCATTCCAGAGGAACCTAAGGAGGCCAGACAAGATGAGAGCAGCAGAACAAGAGGAGGAATAACATGCTCATCAGAACTGAAGAGACCCAGAGTTTATCCTCTCTGTAGTTTGACTGCAGACAACTTGTCAGAGATCAAAAAGTTTAGAACAGCTTTGTTCTGGCCTGATCCCACAGGAGAGGTGTTTTTAGCTACTCCCAGACAACAGAAGATGAAGGGAAGGGCCCCAGACAGACAGACTGCAACCCAAAACCATCAGCAGCCAGGCTACATCCTCCCAGATCTGCCTCCAGCTCCATGCAATATCCATATGCATCCCATGGCCTTTTTGATGAGCAATGAAATAAAGGTCCAGTCTAATGTGGCGAGTGACAATCTGATTTTGCAAGGGTGGATTCCCAAGTCTTGGTGAGGTGTTAGAGGTAATGACTCCGAGTACCTGCCTCATGACAGAAAGAGGGAAATCATAAAAAATCAGAAAATCGGAGGATCTGGAGTCAAAAGAAAGTCAGTGGGGAGGAGAACCACACAGAGCATCCAAAGAGAGGTCCAGATACTCAATCACCAAATTACTGAGGACCTTTGCAAATTTTACTTTACTTCCACTATGCTCCAAACCAGGTACAAGACAGGATGAGAGGAAACAGCCTAATGCTGCACCAGGAGAGGTTTAGACTGGAAATTAGGGAAAATGCCTTCCCAGAAAGGGCTGCCCAGCCCTGGCACAGATGCCCAGGGCAGGGGCGGAGTCCCCATCCCTGGAGGGATCTGAACACCATGTGGTTGTGGCACTTGTGTGGGCATGGGGCAGTGCTGGCCCTGGCAGGGCTGGGGGAGTGGGTGGACTCAATGGTCTTAGAGGGATTTTCAAACCTTAACTATTCTGTGATTCAATATATTGAAAAGCTGCTTCTACACAAGGTCACCCAGAACGTGGTGCAGGACACCAGTCACACAGAAAAGTATTAAAACTTGCCATGACAGACTATATTTACACACAAATAAAGCAGAGCTAAAGCTATACAGGCAACCTTAATGGTGGCATTTTCTGTACTTGGACCATGACTTAAAAATTATTACTGACCAAACAGAAGTTTTGGGGTCAGACTGCTTTCATGTGCTTTACAATGATTAAAATCCATGTTTCTTTTTCTGGGTTTTTTTTGGGTTGTGTTTTTTTTTTTTTTTTTTGGGGTTGTTTTTTTTTTCTTTGGTATGGTTTTTTTGGTTTTTTTATTTGTTTGTTTTTGGTTTTGTTGGTTTTTTTTTTTAAGAACTAGCTCTCTTGTTATAGTAAGGGAGTGTGAGAAACTTAGTACCTGGACTAATCATACTAATCATAGAATGTCAGAAGGGATTGGGTGGGAAGGGACCTCAAAGCCCACATAGCCCCATCCCCTGCTGTGGCAGGGACACCTCCCACTGTCCCAGGTGCTCCAGCCCCAGTGTCCAGCCTGGCCTTGGGCACTGCCAGGGATCCAGGGCAGCCAGAGCTGCTCTGGGCACCTGTGCCAGGGCCTCACACCCTCCCAGGGAAGGATTTCTTCCCAACATCTAATCTATGTCTGCCCTTCTTAAAGCCTAATGAGAAAAACTTCCAAAAAACTTCAGTCTAAATAGAACAAAACAATCCAGCTGCCTTAGATGAGAAAGAAAAACAATCAGTGCTTTCAGGTTCTTAATTTTTTTTTTTTTGTATAAAAGTCTGTGCTGGTCAAAGCACCACATCCAAAGAGACCTTTGAATTAATTCATCACCTCTTAAATAGCTTTCACTAAAAATTCAACATGTTGTGTGTAAGAATGTGCCAGCCTGGTGTATGACCATGATTTCTTCATGCTCCTATTTGCTAATCACAAGATATACTGGAATATATATTTGTAATCAGAAATATGTTAACGTTATCCAGCACACAGACATGATTATATTCACACTTGTCTTGACATATCACAGGGAAGGGTTTCTATTTGCAGCACCTACAATTATTTCCAGCCCAGTGTTGTCTGATGTAAAGCTGGAATTCTTCTCTATTTCAAATCATAAAAACTAACAAGGCAAATCCAACATCAGTATACATTAATCTGAACCAGCCCAAGAGTTATAACTGAATATCTGAAGCGATAAAAGCAAATTAAAATGGTTCCTGTTGGACCTCCTGGACTTACAGTTTCTTGCAGGTATATACAAAAATGAGAGGATTTGGGATTGCTGTGTAAAACATCCCTGGTTAATCGTGGTGAGGACCATCCCAAAGCCTCAGCTCTCACCTTTATGCTTCCCCCGATGAGATCTGGTGGCTCTTCATCTGTTTCTAAGGCAACGTTGATGGAGGCGAAGGGGCGACTCGCCATCTGTTGCATCTCACGTAGTAGTTGCTAATTTATTAAACAGAAAAATATTATCATCATATTGTTCCAACACAAAGATGAAAGACAAATGTATCTAAAAGGTATTGCCCAATACAAAGGGACATCAATGAATATGGAAAAATAACCTCCAGGGGCTTGAATGGCCTTAAGAATACAGATAATGGTAAATATTCACATTACTACAATTTAACAAGTTATTGGAAGTAAAGCTGAATGCACAATGTGAGCCTGACATGTCTGGGAAGGAAAACTATCTGACTGAGTTTCCATAAAGCAGTGATTTACTTTTTAAGCTGTTGTTTGTCATCACCTGTCTGATTCCCATTCCACAGGATTTGTGGGAATCGTTTTAAAATTAAACTAGCAGCAGTATGTAACTACTGTAAGAATGAAGTTGCTATTTTTTATAACAGCACCAGCAAAACACTGTTAGGTTTCTATTGAATATTCCCCTTTTTTTATTGTTTCCTTGCTGAATATAGAAAATGGCAAACATGTCCTTACTGCAACATGTTTTATTAAAATAAAAAACCTTTTCCTGGGCAAATCCCCACAACACCTCATGACACAACACATCTCTCTATTGTGCTCTTAAGCACTTCTAAGCATTTCAATGCAGTTTCCCCTTTTTTAACACACAAAAACCAGATACTTTCTACACAGCTGGGCTGGAAACAGCATGTCAGTTTTAGCTGAGCTGTGGACACACTTCTTTTTGGCTCCAGTGACTAATCTCTGATAGTGACAACACAGCCTGACAGGGGAGGCAGAAGCCAGAATTCCATGAGGCAAGGGGTCCAATGGGACTCAGTGTCTCTGCTGAATAAGGGAAGAGGCATACACTTTGTGCAGCATGGGAAAACCCAGTGCTCTTAACCTTAAATGCAGAAACTGCCCAATGCTCTCACACAGATTTACACATTTACCATCACTACTTACTACAGTAATACCAGTTATCCTCTATTTTTAAGCTGGACTGAGGCACCATCAAATGCTCTCTAGAACTCCCACCATTTGCCACCTGAATTTTCCCATTAATTCTGGGCAATCTGACACTCCAAGCCCAAACTGATCATTTAGAGCACACAAAAACCCCATAGAAAACCCCACAAAATGCATTGTGCCCCAATACGCCCATGCAGCACAGAAGAGGGTGAAAGAAAGGTGCTGTTATCCAGCAACATTGTTGGGAACTGATTCCCAGAATCACCCAGTCCCAGAATGGTTTGGATTGGAAGGGCCCTTAGGGACCAGCCAGTGCCACCCCCTTGCTGGGCTCAGGCCCTGCCTGTGGCTCTGAGGCCATTGCTGGGCCTGGAGCAGAGCCTGGGCCTGCCCTGACCTCTTGCTGGGCCTACAGACTGGGACAGACAGACTGGGACAGACGGGGACACCCAGGGCTGTGGCCCCTCTCACTGGGGCTCCACTCCAGCTGAGCAGCCCCAGCTCCCTCAGCCTTTCCTGGGCACAGGGATGCTCCAAGGCCCCTGCTGGCCCTGCTCCAGGACATCCATGTCCTCCCTCCCGTGCTAAGGATGCAGAGCTGGACACAGCACTGCAGAGGAGCCTCCAAGGGCTGGGCACAGGGGCAGGATCCCCCCTGCCCTGCTGGCGCTGCTCCTCCTGCTGTCCCCAGGATCCCCGTGGCTCCTTGGCTCCCAGGGACAGCTGGCTGTCCACCAGGACCTGCTGGCTGCTCCTCCCCAGACGCAGGACCCTGCATTTGTCCCTGTGGGATTTCAGCAGGCTCCTCTCTGCCCATCTCTCTGCTGAGGTCCATTTGAAGGGCAGCACAGATCCCCTGGGGCTCCTGCCCCCTCTGTGTCACTGCAAACTGCCCAGGAGCCACCCACCCCTCACCCAAATCACTGATGAACCAAACAGCACTGGGCCCAGTACAGAGCCTTGGGGGACACCACTAGAGACAGGCCTCCAACTAGACCCTATGCCACTCATTGCCACTCTCCAGGAACCTTCTATGGCCTTTGCTTTGCCGAATCACCTATAATTCTGAGACTCTTTCACAGCAGAGGACTGTCTCTGTAACTTGGGGGTGCAGGCAGGGCATGATGAGGTCAACGTAGATAAGCTTGTGGGGGTGTATGAGCTTCCATGGCTCTCAGTCTAGCTAAAAAAAACTGTAAAATTTTACTACCATAAAAGGCATGTGGTAAAGTTTTCCTTAATTTTTGAAAGAAAAAAAAAAGAATGGGGAAAAAAAAGGCATTTTGAGCAGATTGTAGATACTGTCACGAAGCAAAAACCCAACAAATCCACACAAATGGAGTGTTCGTAAGCAAACTTGTGTGTAACTCACACTTGGGAAAAAGGACACGAGGAGCGTTCGGGTATTTAAAGCACACCAGCAGATTGCAGACGAAAGCAAGTGTGAAACAGATTGCTGGGTTGTTGTTCCTGTAATTGTCCCCTTCAGCTATCGCAAAGTGCTTTGTTTAATGGCTATAAAATCAATGAACAAGCTGTCCTGATGAAGATGTCCAAGAGACTGACGAACTAAAAGCTATTAGTTCTTCAAAGGAAGTTATTTTACTAAAGAAAATGTGCAATTTGGCAACATGACTCCTACTGAAGTCAAAAGTAGCTCTGAGAATATAGAATCACTGGATGGTTTGGAATGGAAGGGATCCCAAAGATTATCCAATTCCACCCCCTGCCACAGACATAGACACCTTCCCCTATCCCAGGCTGCCCCAAGCTCCAACCAGGATGGCCCTGAACGATTTCAGGGATGGCAAGGAAACAGCCCCTCTGGGCACCCTGTGCCAGGGCCTCACACCCTGCCAGGGAACAATTCCTAATTCCCAAGATCCCATCCACCTCTGCCCCCTGGCAGTGGGAGCCATTCCCTGTGTGCTGTCCCTGCAGGCCTTGTCCCCAGTCCCTCTGCAGCTCTCCTGGAGCCCCTCCAGGCCCTGCCAGGGGCTCTGAGCTCTGCCTGGAGCCTTCCCTTCTCCAGGGAACATTCCCAGCTCTCCAGCCTGGCTCCAGAGCAGAGGGGCTCCAGCCCTGCAGCAGCTCCGGGGCCTCCTCTGGGCTCTCTGCAGCAGCTCCACGTCCTCGTGCTGTTGGCCCCAGGGCTGGGGCAGCTCTGCCGGGGGGCTCTCACCTGAGGGGCACAGGGACACAATTCCCACCTTCCTGCTGCCACCAGCCCAGGCACGGGGGGCTCTGCAAGTGGGCTCTCACCTGAGGGGCACAGGGACACAATTCCCACCTTCCTGCTGCCACCAGCCCGGGCACGGGGGGCTCTGCAGGTGGGCTCTCACCTGAGCATAAAAATGCCCAAACCAGATGAAGTCAGTGGTCCAGGATGCAACCAAAGCAGCAAATGTCTAAGGGAACATCCTTTTCCTATCATCAGCTTCTGGTGTAGCACAAGTCATGTTACAAAGTTCCCCCTAAAAATTAAGAACTAATTTAAGAAGCAATTGTGCTATAACTTTAATGTCATGCTTTACCCAAGGCTTGCACCATGCCTGTTTAACCCAGATCAATCCTTCAATATTTGTTTGGTTTGTCAAAATTTTTAATTAAAAGATTTTATGATGCTTTAAGGGAGAAAATGTGACTTTTCCCCGGTCAAGAGGCTGAGCATGGCTTTACAACAGCTGTTAACATCTAGATACTCCAGAACCTGCCTTTCCCTCATTCCTAATGATGGGCCTTCTGAGATTTCAAATAATGAACCTCAATACTCTTTCAAGCAAACCGTGGTTTTCCAGATAACACGATTAATAGGACAACCTGGGAATATTTTAAATCAGTTAGGCCCAAAGAGGATTTTAAAGGCAAAGTGTTTGACAGCCTTACAAAGAAATCACATCAAAAAGCCTGTCCTAGAATACACCTCTGGCCTTTAATATTTATGTTACTGCAAACTGAGAGAATGTGCACACCTTTCATTTGCATTGAGTGTGATTTTTTTCCATATTGCAGAATTATAAAATGGTTTGGGTTGGAAGACACCTTAAAGACCATCTTGTTCCATCTTGCTTTCTAGAAGGACCCCTTTGGATGTTTTCTCCCAAATTTGCCCTAAACCAGGACAACCCTCCACTAGACCAGGCTGCTCCAAGGCCAGTCCAACCCAGCCTGGAACCCTTCAAATAAAGTGATTCCTACCAGGAATATTTTTAATTCACAGACACTGAGTGATGGACAATCTAAAATGAAGAGTGTGTTACTGATGGCAGAAAAACCTCCCGAGGAAGTGAGGAAAGCCTTGCCAGGCAGTAGTGCAGGCTCTCCCAGAGAAGACAAACAGCTATTCAGGTTACCAGGTTAATTGACTAATATAACCTACGCTGTGTTTTCTGACAGGAAAAGCCTGGACATTTTATTCCCACCATAAAGCAGCCACGAGGCTCAGTATAACCATCCTGCTTACATCCATCTCAGCAACTGCCCCTGCAGAGACTGTTTCATGAGCATAGGGCCCCAGGCAGCTTTGGGGATGGGGCTCTGGTATTTTCAGCCATGAAATAACAGTGATTTTTCCAGAAGAAAGTCACATATCCTGGATTTTATTTGCTCCTTATGAAAAAAGGCCTTAAAAATAAGCTTATCAAAACAGTGATCTAGAATTCATAAGGAATTCCAGTATCTACATGAGCAATTTGTCTCAAGTTTTTTTTTAAAGAAGGAAAACACACCAGGAAGGAAAACAGCAGGAACTCAAGGAGGACACTAGTGAAGTACTAGCACAGGTGCCAGAGCAGCTGTGGCTGCCCCTGGATCTCTGGCAGTGCCCAAGGCCAGGCTGGACATTGGGAGCAGCCTGGGACAGTGGGAGGTGTCCCTGCCATGGCAGGTGGGGGAACAAAATGAGCATGAAGGTTCCTTACAAGCCAAGCCATTCTATGATTCTAAACCCATGGGTGTGTTAAGTGAGCAGTGGGCATCAAAGAGCTTTCATTTTAATGGACAGTAAAAGCAAGCAGGATTCTGCAGTAAGGGGAGGAAATTCCAGCAGACAGGACGTATTC